TGATTATTGAATACAATTTTTTGTTTTTCATTAAGTATATGTGCTATTCGAAGGATTGTCAAATCATGTCATACACTTATTTTCATAGAACACCCCTTACTTAGGTATAAGGTATGTTTTGTTACATTAGGATTTGGATATCCATACTGATAATTCATAGAATCAACATAAATAAATAAATTGATAACGGACCCTGTTTCTAATATAACGGTTTAACAGTTATCGTAAATAAGTTTTGAACAACTTGTGTCTTATTTTCCTGAAAACAAATATAATTATTTTGCAAAGATATGCTTACCTGCAGCGGTTACAGCGACCAAGAGGCATGAAGCCAAACGCACACAGATAAAGGTGTTCATTGTACTGTTCTGAAAGGAATACCTATATAATGTAAAGTTAAATAAAATTAACGATAGGAAGGAACGGATCACTTTTTATATTTTAACGAACCAAACATTTAGACTAACAAGGTTCCAACAAATGAATGATCAACTTTCGTAAACCATCGTTGGCTCTTATTGGACTGATTTACCAAAAACAAACTATGCGCCAACTGGCTATCAACGTCCAGGATACTTGTAAAGATATATGTTGTACATGCTATGTTTCTGCTCAACAGATCTCTCTCATATATCGTATGGTGTCATTGCGGACCTTTTTTTCCCTTTTTCCCCCATTAATATATGCAAAGCATAACTGAGTCCAGAGGCACTGGTGGTGGATCAGGAGAAGTGGTGCAGAGAACTAAAGACTAGGGTCTATTTATGGAACATGAGACGGAAGTCTGCACATGCTAGGTCCTTGAATTGGTCTGGTCAGATCGTGCGGAACTGTTTTACCAAAACGCAATCATTTGGTTTGAACACCTGATAGAATTAATGATCTATTAATAATTGTTATATCCAGACTTCGCTTAGTTGTAACTACCTGTACACGTAATCAGGTGTAAGTAGTTAGCATGTTCTAGATGACGCATAGGCCCATTACTTTTATTTGTGTTTAGTTGGATCTAATTATAACTTAATGCTTGGTTTTATAACCCTTTGGTATTGTTTCACGATGTAAAACATTTGTTTTTAAATATATTTTTATCTTAGTAACACTATTGAACAGATATGTAACGAAGCAAGTGTTTTCCCATTTGAAATGTTAGCAATATTATTGACAAGTTGAGCTTGCCCCTTTGAATCGCTCTGTTGTAAATTTGAAAATTGAAGAAATAAAAAAGGGCAGAGAGCGGGGTTTTAAATTTCACCTCGCTTGCAGTATTGAATTGACAAATTTTAGATTCAGTAATTTGAAAACTGTATTCACTATATAATCTAAAGAAAAAGCAAACCAGCATTAGTATACTTTCTTCAATTTTTCGTTTTTAAATTATCCATATTCTAACATTGATAATCTTATACACAATCTGTTATGGTAAGTAAGAAGTGTGAAATATATGCCTATTTTCAAATGAAAAAAAGATACAATTTTTTCAATGAACACTCATGGAATTATGCCATCATATTTCAACACTATATACCATTTTTATAGTCCAAGTGTTCTATTTTTCCATTTTTATTAAGCGAAATGAAAACGGGCTATTCAGATGGAAAATAAGATACTTCTCCGATCCTTTACTTCTAATTTAGATTAATATGATCTAAACTTCCTTGAAGGTGTGGCGAAGATATCCAGTCTTGTAACTATGGGGGAAAATAGGCCTGCTTAATGCCATAGCATGTTATCGTAAGAGGCGACTGATGTGTGGCAACCTGCGGAATCGGGTGTTTTCTTCTACTTTTAAAGGGGCATTGAAATTGCTCTGCTGAACCCAATGCCAAAGAAAACAACATAGATGATTCCAACCTGAGAGGTGATGTTTTAATTGTCGAACCCGAGGCTTTTGCTGATTATTTCGTTCCCTATCGCGGAAAGGCGAAATGTATGCTTTTAAACAAAGGCACATATTGACGTATGAAAAAACAACACTTACTTGGTTCGAAATTACAGCTTATGAAGAGTTTGAACAAACATTTTATAAGGTATTGCAGCCTTTCTTCGTTTGGCAAGATACTATTCGTTATTTTGTTTGCAAATATAAGAGAGATGGGATGAGGAAGATGATGTTTATTACAGTTCAGTTTGTGTCTGTCATAAAAAATATCAAACGTACAACTGGGCCATAAATACAATTGTTGTTGTTCGCTTTAAGAAAGTGTTTTAATTAATTTTTAGTTTGTTTACAACAAATGTGTAACGAGTAATAAACACTCTTTTTGGCCCAGACGAAAGCGCTCAGGGAGTCGAAGTGTGGGAGGAAACTTGAGTTCCCGGAAAAAACACACGTTGCCGAGTAGTTGACCCAATGTCTCATCACGTCCGATCGGGGAATTGAACCCCATCGCCTTGGTGAAAGACGAGTGCCCTATCAACTGCGCCACCTACAGAGTTGTTCTAGCTGGCTTACATCAATACGCTTTAAAGAGATTTCTGTTTCTGTTCCTACCGTTGTGTGTTCCGGTCTAATATTTCCTTATAAATATTCATGTATAAATTCACACAATGACATAGTCGTACCAGCTCTGCTTAAAATGTATAAATATACGGAATGCATATTAATGCAAATTTTATTAAGCACTAAAAAAGACTTGACAATAAATCAAGCATCTCTTTGCTAGGAAATACATACACATGTATGTATAGGTATACATAAATCGATAAATGCTATGCATACTCATTTTGTATTCAAGCAAAAAGGGGGATAATGGCCATAGGACAGATTTGAATCACATAGATAATAGCGACCATCTGTGTTAACACAGTATTAAACTACCAAGGATTCATACCTGTTTAAGTCACTCGCCACACTCCGGCTGTAATCGCAGCATCAATCGGTATACAGCAAATCGAGAATATCCAGATGTGCACGAGTTTTCTACGCCTATAGCTGAAAATTAATCACATTGTATATAATCAAGTCCGATCCGAAAGTGTGCAAACCTTAAAAGTAATCAGGTCGCTGATATCACACTTATCAACATAAGCACAAATGTTGCTAGATGCATACTTGATATTTGTAATTTACGAAGATCAACATAATTTTGCACTCATGCTAAGAACATAATAACTCTTTACAGTTTAAAGTAATTAAAGGTATCATTAGATCAAGAGTTGCAGAGTAAAGTCGCAACTATTTCCTATTGAGATATATGTACATATTTTGGCGGTAATGTAATTTTAGCGGCTTTCGCGCTACATCATGTCCGCGAATACAAGTACCTGCTCAAGCTCGAAAGCTAAAATAATAATAATAATTCGATGTTCTTTATTTACCGCTTTAACACAACCTAGTTCGTAGGTCGTCTCAAAGCGGTTCACAAATTATCATCCGTGGTTATGGGGCCTATGCAACCAGCCAATATCTTTCTCAACTCCCTGAAGAGCATACAGCTGATGCTGCCATTTCGGCGCTCACAGCTACATGTAGCATTCCACAATTCCAGCACTGCCCAACCACGACAGACAGACGAGCACATCCTTTATTTCCTCCAAATAGAGATTACATGTCTTACATAAGTGAACTTTTACAATAATTAGCTCTTTTCAATTATAGAAAACATGGTATATACATGTCATATTGTTATCAACACTGCAGATTATTTACACACTATATTGGTCAGTATAACTGACCTCTCAAAAATTGAGATTTACTTACCACGACAAATGTTAACTTTAGAAAGCATGTGCTCTACACAGCGTGCAAATCCGATGATGCAGTTCTCCCATCCATCATCATCTATTTCCATCACCATTCTCTACTACCTAAGAGAAACAGGTACTGATCGTCTTCTTCCAACATATCAATTTTAACATAATCAACAACCTTTAGCGTATTTACAACATGCTCTAAAAGCTTATCCCAACTGCTGCTATGTTGGCTGTTGATTTACGGCACAGTTTACAAATTACACAATCAGCCCCTGTCCGATATGAGAGCTTTACTAATTCTGCAAGTGTCCATGTCAGTTTTGGATATTTCAAGCTCAATTCCCTCAGAGGGTTGGGGCCCATATACGGATGTATACACTTAAAATGACTTAGTAGCACATTGTACAATCATTCACAACACCATTCATGGCAATAAAACTGTTCTGTAATGTTTTTTCACAAAGAGCTTCCATTATCTTGAACTGCATGAACACATTTAAGAAAGAACGAGTGTATTCCAAGTTTTAACATTGTGTCTGATATATCCTTAATGAAGCATTGCCGTGACGTGACTCGAACCCGCAACCCTTCGTGTATGAGCCCGGTGTCCTATCACTGGACTACAGTGCCTCTGCTAAAATCAGACCACAAAGCACATGGTATCCATACCATACGTGTAGGGTTTCACTCGACAGTTACTGGCAACAGCTCAATGGCATACATACGTGAAGGAAAGACTGTTTTTTTGTTCCAAGGTATTCAGCGGTTGTACCTCACTCGGCATTCAATTCGTTATACACTCAGTTTGCCAATTTTATAGAAAATTAAAACAAATTGCTGAATAAAGGAGTTTAGTTACTGCGATTCCACTAATTTAAAAGTGCGCTAATAAGTCATTCCATCTTCGTTCCGCTGAAATAGGGTGCGCTAAAATAAATACACTAACAGTACCATGTCACCATTATATTACATAGATATCAATTCATCTGTATTCATATATAAATGAATCTACAACCATTAATTAAAAGGTGGTCCATGTTCATTGCAATTGCCATAACTAGTTGCATCAATAAATTTCCTTTTCTTTTCATGTCGTTGGTTTGCTGGTCGATTTGAAGTTTATATATTTATGATTTATTAATTTATTTCCTTTTTCGCGTAACAGCTGGATTTGTATCATAATGAATTCATATGAGTTCATATTATATATAAATATCTTGCAAAGATGATTCGTAGATCCATCACAACCAGAAGAATTTCTTAAATTTCAACAAATTTTATTAAGAAATAAAAATGACTGCACAATATTAAAGTCTTCTCCAAACCAGAAAATACATACAAAGGTATGTATAGATATTCATTGGCAAATGTTTTTACATGATAACTATTTTGAAGAATGAAGGAGATGGATTACAAGAGACTGAGTTAAAACTTCAATTATAATAATAACGACCCCAAGTGTTTCCTGGCATGAAACATATTAAATTGCCAGAAATTCAAACTGCATAAAGACAGTCACCAAACTCTGATAATCATCATAAGCAGTCTATATACAAACCTACGATATCTTATAACACATAAATGCATGTCTGTTTAACTAATTTCATAATTATAATATTCGAGTAAGACTTGCAAGCTAAATCACCTGAGATATCGCTTTGGTTTATATATACTACAATACATTATTATCAGCATAGAACAATCTATGTTGTCTTGACCGCATGCATTGCAAAACTTTTACCTGTGGCCTTTCGAGTGATATAGATTATGCGGAATCCACACGTTTTGTATATTTGTTCTATTTCTTCTTGCGATAGTGAAACAGACATGAATTTGAAATCTCCAACTTCGTAATGGGTGGTGTCAAAGATACCGATGACCACCAAATGACCGCCAACTTTCAACAAAGAAGCAGCATTTTGCACAACCTGACGATAAGCTTCTGTCGTCTGTGCAGCTGATTCAAAACAGAGACACGTTGTTATTACGTCGAACTGATGAGGATGATCTCTCTTGCCTAACGGATGTCCGGATCTGACGTCGATAGGAAGAACTCCGCGAATCTTTGCTTTAATCATTTCCTGTCTGTCTGCTATTGAATGCCTTAAATGAATACATAATTTTAATTATCGTAAGGGTTCAAATAACAATTGAGTAATTAAAAAAAAATGTTTGAAATATTAATATGTTTTGTTTCTAGATGCATAATTGTACTACTATTAGTATGAATTACAATTGTATAAACATTGAATTGTTCGTTCTTTGGCAGGTTTTCGCATGCCTGATTTCCCCTAATGTATTACACAGGTGAAAATCCTTTGAAACGCTAGTCTTAATGCTACGCTAAATTCATACATTTTTGGCTGTTTTCTTTTTACAATTTTAAAATATTATATAACTATATAACTGCAGCCTGCATTTTAATCATATGATGAATGCGTTTCAGTTATACATATAATTGGATGTACCTTGCATTTTCTCTCTTTAAGACGTAATCCGTAAGTTCAGCCTCAGCCATGCTATTACCTTTCCACCAGTCAGTCATTACAGCTCGATTTCGTTGAGATACGTCACTGAGATATATTTCATGCACGTGGGCGCTGGCACTGACCACAGTTCGGATGGTCGGACCCGTTCCAATGTCCAGTAAGGTATGACCTTTTATGACACCTGGTAAAATTCAAAACAATAACAGTGGCAAAGTTTCTAAAAATAGGAATATATGTTACTACCTATTAATCAATATGTCAAGTCACCAAAGTGAAATACAACATTTACGACTATGATCAGAGCTTTCTGCTTTCTATTAGCTACTATTTGATGACATTATCGTATTCATTTTCATGTTATTTTCGTTGATGACCTATTAGTCATACTTGCTGGCGTGTGGACATCATCACGAAACTTCATGTGATGAAGGAAATTATATCACCTCCGGAGCACGGTACCATGTTTTCGTGGTTTCTGTAGAGATGTCAGTATTATTTATATCATAATAATTTTAACATGAAGTTTGACTTAAATGTGAATTCAAATACTGAACACAGCGTCAATATATCAGGACAAGATGCGAAAGCGGAACAAAAAAAGACAAGATGGACCAAAAGTATATCAGAACAAAATAAAAAGACGTGAACATGGTGGTATAAAAAAGTACACGTTTTAGGTAATATCATGATTTCTCTACTAAAATCAGAAAAAATATTTTTTTAACATTCAAACAGCAAGTCAGTTATATCTACTTATTATAGATACTGAAGTATCATAGATCTTAAACAAGTTATGATGAATAAGCATTCAGTGTTGATTTAAACATATGAGACTATGAGAAAATATGGACTAAGTACTTGTTTGTCAAAACGATTTTTCTTGAAAATTGTAGCCAGTCCAAACGCATTGTCATGGTATCTTAGCGTAAACTGGTAGATGGAATGAGATACAAAAAATAATTTTCATACACTACACCCCTGAGCATAAAAGAGTCCTATAATCTTATCTCACAGTTACCTGAATTAAAAAGATCATGCATAGAATCCACATTGAATTGAAATATGCTCCTTTCTTCCTCTTCCTCAGAGGTAGACCAATCGTGGGTTTTCATATAGCACTCCGGGTCAAAGTTGTCATACTCAGTCGTTTCTGTCAGAGACATCATCTTGTATGGCCAATGCAAAGCAATATGACCAATACAGACAGGTTCGTATTATAATGAGAATGGTGCACGGTCATGTGCGTGTATCTTGCATATATAGGTATCTGTCATCAGGCCCAAGTTTCAGAGGCAACGATTGGTTGAACAAAAATAAACTTTTCATATTTTATTACTACTAACGATTTAACCTAGCAAAGCAGGAAAATATATATCCTTGTTTTAATCTTCATTTTCTTATTTAAACCTTTCATACACATTCCATTTTGTGTTTATTAATTCTTTGGAAACCCTATGTCAATCTGATGTCGATTCCCAATAGAGGGTGACCCTTTTTTCCATTCGTTGTAGTGAATGGATGCATAAATTAATTACGGGTGAGGCAAGGATGAAGTAAAATATGATCTCCTTAATTCTAGAGGATCACTTATACTGAAAATATCTATATTTAAACAAGAAAAAACGATTGTCAAAATGAATATCAACCAACTATTTTAGATTACTGTGCCCATCAATTTAGGACATTGTTAGGCCCCTTCTCACACACACGCTAAAACTTGATAGATATCGAAACTTACCTAATAAGACCATTTTTTGTATGCATAAATAAATGGACAAATGTGCCAAAATCAGTCGTGTTTGTTCAATAGTCACCCTTCAAAACGCGCACCAATTTGCCCTAATAGTCCAGGTATTAGAAGGACGACGGACGGAACGGCTAGACACGATGAGTGCTTTTTTATCACATGACGTCTTTTTAAGCACTTGCAAAGACAACAGAAATGATTAGTTGAACACGAAAAATATATTATTCATACTTTTATAAAATGATATACGATTGGAATATATATTACTGCATATCATTGTATATAAAACTGTCATTACAAATTGAGATTATTGTAATTCCTTTCAGGAGGAAACATATGTTACAAGTCACGTGATGAATTTTATTAACTACATACGTGTTGATGAGTTATTTTTTCTATTCACACAGTATTTACAACATAAAATAACTTCTTCCCTTACGATTCAACTATTTAGTCATTGCTTTACTAATCCAGATGATTAATTGTTTGCGTTTATGGGGAACAGTAAAACTGACAAAGTAAACGAGGATGCTTTTATTCAAAACTATGTGAATGGTATATTAAAACGGTTGAATTGAAGGTAATCGCCTCTTCTCTGAGACTGAGTTTGGTCAAAAGACTTTTTTTAGTGAAGGGAAATGGCAGTTTATGTTTAGTCTTTTTATAGATAATGGCATATTTGGTTATTTACAGATATAATGGATGTAACATCATGTTCTGGAAAGAAGTCCTGAAACCTAGGAAAGACTGAAAATTGCTGAGAAAGAGATGGCAGTAGTGTAAATATCGTTATGGTTTAATACTTAAATGTGTGGTGATAAAAGGCCAGTGTTTTACAGAAACGGTAAACCAAGGGAATAGTTTTAACTAGTAATCTCGAAACACTAACGCCGGTCGAGGAGAAAATATTGGGAAAATTCAAACATTTGCCTATGATTTAAACAGTACGCCGGTTTTGTCCAGTTTTTCAGTATATTTGAAACGTATCTCTATCTATCTATATCAGAAAAAAGTATAAAACGTAGGTTTGGGGAAAAACTAATTCATTCAACATAACATGTAAAAGAAACATCAAAATATAGCTCAAGGGTTCAACATGGTCGCTATTTTTCTGTAGTAGCCCTATATGTAGTAGATTTACATATATTCTTAACCATTACACCGACACAACTTTTTATAAGCTCAATCTATATTACAGTATTACCGGCCAACTGTATGGAATGCAAGTTAACCGTTCAACAGTGTATAAATTCAAGCCAATATTTACCAAACATTTGGTTGTTTAGATTACGTGTTCTATACATGAAAAAGAGACTAACATAACGGCGTTATCACACTGGAACAAGATCCTAGATCACAACAGCTGACACAAAAGTACAAAGGAAAGTCTATATTATATAGCTTCAATATACAATATATATCTAATCATAGAATAATACTTGCTCTTCGGTTACTTTCTGTTTTGAAAATTGAAACCGATTCATTATCAGAAATAATATCTTTATTTAAATATTTTTTTAATGCTGCAGGAGAGGGAGAATTAAGAAGATCAGAATTTGCAATGTTAATTGTGCGGAACATTTGAGGGAAAAAACTGTCGAAATAGTTATTAGTTCTACATAACGGTGGGTTGAAGAGCCTAGTTTGTTTGAGAAGGTAGGGGTTATCATTTTGATTACTAATAAAGGGATTTAAAACATTTTGTAAGTATTGAGGTGTCTGCCAATGCATAATTGTGTACATCATTACATGTTTGTGTTTATTTCGTCTTACAGATAGTGTTTCCCAACCTAGTTCATAGTATAGTTTGTTATGTAATACCCCAGAACGAAGACCTGTTATTATCCTAGCTGCTTCTAATTGTACAGATTCAAGAACATCTTTTGCCTGTTGTGTACAATTATCCCAAATAATATCTGCATATTCCAAAATTGGCCTAATAAATCCCATATATATTTTAATTAATGATTTTCTATTGACTTTAGTTTTGATATGGCGAAGAGTATTAAGTCTATTGTAAGCTTTTTTGTATATATTCTGTATGTGCTGTTTCCATGTTGCATCATCTTAAAGTGTAAGTCCTAAGTGTTGATGTGATCATGTGTCTATGATTTGGCTATTTTGGAAAAATAGTGGGATGTGATGGGTGTCTTGTTTTCTAGAAAATATGAGTGATTTTGTTTTACTTGGATTGAATTTAATGTCCCAAGTTGTTGCCCATTCACCTATGTTAGTAAGATCAGTGTTGAGAGATTGTGCGGCCTGTGCTGGGTTATTATCTATAATTACATACAGTACAAGTACTTGACAGTGTTAGCTACACAGGTGTTTGTATTTGCCATTTAAAAATATGTCTCTAATGGAAACGACTGATTATCAAAACTGTTATCACATTTGTCTATGATAAGGGAAAAGGAAGCGAGGAGAACATGACAATTTGTACACACAAGTGATTGCTTCTTTACCATTTGGTAATATGTACATTATGCCAAAAGTTAATTACACTGCAAAAAGATCTACAATAGACAAATGCACTATAGGCAAAAAAAAATTATCATATTATTTAATTTGGTGTTTCATTAACACGGAATGATGTTTTGAGAGATACAAATTATATTGTTAGCTACAGTTACAAGTGTAGATATCGAATCGAATATCTGAGACATGAGAGGTCGGATAAATCAAGGTTACGGTAATTCAGAGGGACTAAGAAATCCACCAGCAGAGTCTGCCATCTTGTATCTTGGAAGAGGAACGTAACAGACACACAAGTGTTGCTTCATGGCTGTAGAACGGTAGTCTGACTGTATGTATAAGCTGATCCTTAATCGTTTCTTGTAAATATTTCATGACACAATGTGATTGGGACATACTTTTCGGAGTACCTTAGATTTAGATATGTATTCGTTTGACCTTTAGCCCCACTGATGAGTCCTATATTCATGAAATAGTCATTGTGTACAGTAAAATTTTACTTCTTTTACTTCCTGTATCAATATATTATGTTTTATGAATGCTTCGTTCTTCATATTTCTTGTTATTATTTTGATAAAGCGGTATATAAGAACCTCAACTTATTATTATTATTATGAGTTAATATCAATTGAAGTTAAAACATTGTTCTTTAATTGCATCCATATTTCAACATAATGGCAATTACAAAATTACACATAAAGTTATAAAAAAAATGTAGGAAGTGTTAAGAAAGTGTAACACGCTACCGGGAAATAATTCAGTTTCGATATGTTGATACAAACATCAATATGAGTTTGAATCAATTGACAAATTAATTTCAATGTTTATGATGCTGTTAAATATTAACACATCACTTTAACAAGCATCTGATTGTTATGGTATTTACAAGTTTGTTCTGTCTTTCACCATTTGTTAAGTTATCAAATAGCAATAGGAACCTAACCATTTTAAATTGACATTAACATATACAAGCAACAAATGTATTTTCTCCGAATATTTTATTTTAAATCCATTTTATTATAAACTGAAAGATTTATCGAACAGGCAAGTCATCTAGTAACCTGAAAGAGAGAAAAAAAAAAAGGCTGTTCGGTTAAAAATCAATACATTCACATGATACGGTTATTAATAAATATTTTAAAAGCGATCTACATGTATCTGATTTTTTTCTTCCTTTTAGATATATCAGACATGTTTACAATAAACGATTTTATTGTCAAAACTTTAAAACATAAATATTTCAACATGTGTTTTTCTAACAGCAAATTGTATTACTTTGTGAATAGGCTGACCCACCAGTCAGTGCATATTGAAACTGATTAACTACATATCGTTAAAATAACAATTATATTGGTACAGTTAACAGTATGATCCTCTCAAATTATTTAAGATATTTATTTTCCGTGTAGATTATTTGATAAATCTTGAAATCAGTTATCAGAATCACTTTCTGTTCGTTTTATATAATGATTTATTAAATGAAAACATACGTCCACCGCCGTTACCGGCGCCATTGCCGTATCCGTTACTAGCGCCATTGCCGTTTCCGTTACTAGCGCCATTGCCGTTTCCGTTACTGGCGCCATTGCCGTATCCGTTTATGGCGCCATTGCCGTATCCGTTACTGGCGCCATTGCCGTATCCGTTGCTGGCGCCATTGCCGTATCCCTTTCCGACGCCATTTCCGTTACCATTTCCGTTTCCGAATCCATTTCCATATCCTGTCAGTAATAGATATTTCATATATACCATTAGCATTTGATTACTGTAAATATATCTTTAATGCTATCATTTATTGTTCATTAGTTATATGTGCCATTCCAAGGATTGTCAAGTCATACCATAAAATGATGATTACGAAAGCTTCAAACTCAGCTTACAAAGCTATTTTAAATATGGAAAGTCAAATTGATAATGCATTATTACAGAATCAATGTAAATAAAGGTATTGATATTTTAATTTGTTTGATGTCTCCTGTTTTATACTATTGTTTAATTTTGCTTTTCTAAATTTTCAAAAAAGTAAAAAGGGTTTTCAATACACTAAAATTTGGAAAATCATATTGATAATTCATTATTACAGAATCAATGTAAATAAAGGTATTACTATCTTAATCTGTTGGAAGTCTACTAGTTTATACTTTAATTTGTTTTTTTATTTCAAAATTAAGCTTTTATTATATTTCATACATAAAATCAAAAAATGATTATTTTGTTAAATGATTCTTACCTGCAGCGCTTACAGCGACCAAGAGGCATGAAGCCAAACACATACATATATAGGTGTTCATTTTTGCGTTCTGAAAGGAATACCTATAAATCGAAAAGTTGAACTGTTAACAAGATGAACATGTTACTTGTGTCTTTTGTTCCGACAATCATTTGAACTAACAAGGTTTAGCTAATCAAATCATCTAATTTCATATACAATCGTTTTGTTAAAGAAAAAGTGTTCCGAAAAAAATAATTTCTATTCCATTTTTCTGCCTACCCTTAGATACTAAGTTTATATACCGAATCCAATTTTATTTAGCTCTCTACAGTTAAACACATCTAAAGAATACCTTATATATTAATTTTCTGTTCGGAAAGCTTCTTGTTAAATCTCAAAAACAAATTGTATAGTGACAATGAAGCAATGTATGAATATAAACCAATGCAAGCAATACTTCTTTAAATGATTATCAAGATATTCCACAATGAACTTAAATGAATTATTTAAATTATGATTACAATATTTTTTTATGATTATAAGGTCTAATGTATAAAAAAATAACATAATCAATTTAATGTGTTCTTAATATAAAACTTACCGGACTTGGCTAGAAGATACTGGTGGAGGACTGGAGAAGTGGTGCAGAGGAAGATAGATTAGGGTCTTTATTTATACAAAATTAAACGGAAGTCTGCACATGCAAGGTCATTGAATTGGTCTTGTTAGATCGTGCGGAACAGTTTTACACCGTAATCACTTGTATTGAACACTTGCTAGAATAAATGATCTATCTTTAAATGTTTAAAGTCAGACTTCGCTTAGTTGTAACTACCTGTACACGTAATCAGGTGTGGGTAGTTAGCATGTTCTAGATGACGCATAGGCCCATTACTTTTATTGGTGTATAGTTGGATCTAATTATAGCTTAATGCTTGGTTTTATAACCCTTTGGTATTGTTTTACGATGTAAAATCCTTGTGTAATAAACATTTGTTTTTAAATATATTTTTATCTTAGTAACACTATTGAACATATTTGTAACGAAACAAGTGTTTTCCCATTTGAAATGTTAGAAATATTATTGACTAATTGAGCTTCCCCCTTTGAATTGCGCTGTTGTAAATTTCATGCATGCAATTAAAGAAATAAAAAGGGCAGAGAGCGGATTTAAATTTCACCTCGCTTGCAGTATTGAATTGACAAATATCAGCTTCAGTAATTTAAAACTGTATTCACTATATAATCTAACGGCAATGGAACTCGGCATAAGTATACTTTCTTTGATAACATACTTTTTACATTATCCACAATCTAACATTAATAATCTTAAACACTATCTGTTATGGTAAGTAAGAAGTGTGAAATATATGCATATTTTTAAATGAAAAAAAAATACAATTTTTTCAATGAACACTCATGGAATTATGCCATCATTTTTCAACACAATATACCATTTTTATAGTTCAAGTGTTCTATTTTTCCATTTTTAATAAGCGAAATGAAAACGGGCTATTCAGATGGAAAATAAGATACTTCTCCGATCCTTTGGCTTCTCATTTAGATTAATATGATCTAAACTTCCTTGAAGGTGTGGCGAAGATATCCAGTCTTGTAACTATGGGGGAAAATAGGCCTGCTTTATGCCATAGCATGTTATCGTAGGAGGCGACATATGTGTGGCAACCTGCGGAATCGGGTGTTTTCTTCTACTTTTAAGGGACATTGAAATTGATGCCAAAGAAAACAATATAGATGATTCCAACCTGAGAGATCATGTTTTGATTGTCGAACCCGAGGCCTTACAGATTATTTCGTTTCCTATCGCGGAAAGGCGAAATGTATGCCTTTTTACTTGATATTACAGCTTATGAAGTATTTGAACAAAAAAAAATATAAGTAATTTGCAGCCTTTCTTCTCTTGGAAATAAACAAACAATCACATAGAGTATTGATACTGTTTCGTGAAATTTTCGCAAATATGAGGGAGATGGGATGATGAAGATGATTTGTATTACAGTTCAGTTTGTGTCTGTCATAATAAAGTATCAAACGTACAACTGGGCCATAAATACAATTGCTGGTGTTTGTTTTAAAGCTTTTTTTGTGAATAAGTAAGTAGGTGAGTGAGTGAGTAGGTATCAGAATAATCTTTAATTAAACTTTAGTTTGTTTACAGCAAATTGGTAACGAGTAAAATCACTCTTTTTGGCCAAGCCGTTAGCGCTCAGGGAGTCTAAGTGTGGGAGGAAACTTGAGTACCCGAAAAATACCCACATTTCCGAGCAATTGACCCTATGTCTTATCACGTCCGATCGGGAAATTGAACCCCACCGTCTTGGTGAAAGACGAGTGTCCTATCCACTGCGCCACCTACATATACTTCTACAATATTGTTCTAACTTGCTTACATCAATACGCTTTAAAGATATTTCTGTTTCTGTTCATACCATTGTGTGTTCCGGTCTAATATTTTCTTATAAATATTCATGTATTAATTCACACATTGACATAGTCGTACCAGCTCTGTTTAAAATGTATAAATATACAGAGTACATGTTAATGCAATTTTTATCAAGCACAAAAACAGACTTGACAATAAATGTAGGATCTCTTTGCTAGAAAAAACATACACATATATGTATAGCATATACATAAATCGATAAATGATATGCATACTCATTTTTTATTGAAGCAAAAAGGGGGATAATGACCATAGGACAGATTTGAATCACGACCATCTGTGTTAACACAGTATTAAATTACCAAGGATTCACACCTGTATAAGTCATTCGCCACACTCCGGCTATAATCTCAGTATCAATCGATATACAGCAAATCAAGAATATCCAGATGTGCACGGGGTTTCTACGCTTCTAGCTGAAAATTTATCACAGTGTATATATTCAAGTCAGGTCCGAAAGTTTGCAAACTTTTAAAGTAATCAGGTCGCTGATATCGCACTTATTAACATAAGCACAAATGTTGCTAGATGCATACTTGATATTTGTAATTTACGAAGATCAACATAATTTTGCACTCATGCTAAGAACATAATAACTCTTTACAGTTTAAAGTAATTAAAGGTATCATTCGATCAAGAATTGCAGAGTTAAGTCGCAACTATTATATATTGAGATATTGTAAGTGTACATATTTTGGCGGTAATGTAATTTTAGCGGCTTTCGCGCTACATCTCGTCCGTGAATACAAGTACCTGTCTCCTGCTCAAGCTCGAAAACTAAACTAATGATAATAATAATTTGTCTAGCGCTTTAACACAACCTAGTTCGTAGGTCGTCTCAAAGCGGTTCATAAATTATTATCCGTGGCTATGGGGTATATGCAACCAGCCAATATCTTTCTCCACTCCCTGGAGAGCATTCAGCCGATGCTGCCATGTCGGCGCTCACAGCTACATGTAGCATTCAACAATTCCAGCACTGCCCAACCACGTACTCATTTGCAACTGAGAAGACTGGAACAAGCAGAGTAAAGTATATTGTTCAAAGGTACAACACAGTGCCGTGACGTGACTCGAACCCGCAACACTTCGTGTCTGAGCCTGGCGTCCTACCACTGGACTACAGTGCCTCTGCTAAAATCAGACCACAAAGCACATGGTATCCATACAATACGTGTAGGGTTTCACTCGACAGTTACTGGCAACAGCTCAATTGCATACATACGTGAAGGAAAGACTGTTTTTTGTTCCAAGGTATTCTATATATAACACATAAATGCATGTCTGTTTAACTAATTTCATTATCATAAGACAAGGATTCGAGTAAGACTTACAAGATAAAAGTGTAGAATAGTTTTTCTACCACAATACGTTGTGTTACTCCACTCTCAGATCATTGTAAAAACATGCAGACTGTTGAATAATATGAGTTATACACCACACGTGGTATATGACCTTCCGTAGTATTGATTGGTCGAAAAGAAGAACCTTGACCGGACGCCTTTTTTCACGAGCTTTTTGCCGCGTGCTGTTTTCTTTACGTCGACTGCTGTCAACATCCGGCAAATGTTGGCGACTTTTGTGAGATTATGCGATGGGAAAAGGGGTTATCAATGCAATACCAAAAGAGGATGATGCTTAAAGATATGATCGCTAGTTTCACGCAAAACTGCTACAGACGCTCGATATCGTTTCGACAGTATACCGTCGCGTGTCCAGGTCGTGAAACCCAGAGACGTAATAACAATAATATATGTCTCTGTGAAACTCAAACAAGATCTGTAACAGTATCGGAAAATGTTTCGTTCTCCCCATGTCCCGTTATCAATATTTGGAGGGCCTGTCTATGGCGGAACCCTCACTATAAACGTCAACCATAGAACCTAACGAAGAAATGTCCCAGGCCTACGGTTTTGGACATATTGACAGCGATTAGTTCGTCTTCATCACTTGGCGGGAGGAAGACTTCGTACGATATGCTTACGCGCATATAGTCCGTGGTTAATTTTTATTAATTAATGCAATATTGCATACTCTCAATATTTAAAGTCGTTCATCTAAAGCTCGTGTCTTTTGTAACTTTTGAAAATTAACTAACGCGAGTGAAATAAATACCATATTCAACAATCACTCGTTGTGTAACCCCTATATATATAAATATTGATAATATTTATAAATAAACAATGCTATTATGCAACAGTCGTATCCGGCTGTTTTCTCTAGCGGTCATTACCTGGGATTTACCGCCTCATCGTCATCGACCCAGTTTTGTTATCTTCGCACTGTAACGAAATTGTCATGCAATTCAAGTTGACTTTGCGAAAATATCGCATGGAGCAAGCCAACATCCATTTTCCTGTGACCTTGTAACAGCCGCGAAAGTGTTATGGATGCCTATTAGTGATAATGCTATACGGAGTGTCATCCCACTTGACAAATAAACGTCGCAATAGTGTAATTCTACTCCTATCAAATCACCTGAGATGTCGCAACAGTGTAATTCTACTCCTATCAAACCAATGAGATTTCGCAACAGAGTAATTCTACCCCTATTAAATCACCTGAGATGTCGCAATAGTGTATTTCTACTCCTATCCAATGCACTAACATATTACACTAGTGTATTTCTACTCGTACATTGTTATTTTACACCTATCAAATTCCCTGAGATGTCCCAATAGTGTAATTCTACTCCTATCAAATTGCCTAAGCTGTCGATATAGTGTAATTCTACTCCTATTATATTACTTTAGATATTACACTAGTGTATTTCTACTCGTATATTGTTATTTTACTATCAAATCCCCTGAGATGTCGATATAGTGTATTTCTACTCCTGTCAAATCCCCTGAGATGTTGCAATAGTGTAACTCTACTCCTATCAAATCCCCTGAGTATCGCAATAATGTAAATCTACTCCTATTAAATGACCATAGATATTACACTAGTGTATTTCTACTCGTATATTGTTATTTTACTAACTATCAAATCTCCTGAGATGTCGATATAGTGTATTTCTACTCCTATCAAATCCCCTGAGATGTTGCAATAGTGTAACTCTACTCCTATCAAATCGCCTGGGAGTTCGATTCAGTGTATTTCTACTCCTATTCAATTCGTTGAGATGTCGCAATTGTGTTATTCTACTAATATCAAATTTTCTGATA